ACACTACCTCCCACAGTACCTCACACTCTCCCACAGTACCTCACACTCTCCCACAGTACCTCACACTCTCCCACAGTACCTCACACTCTCCCACAGTACCTCACACTCTCCCACAGTACCTCACACTCTCCCACAGTACCTCACACTCTCCCACAGTACCTCACACTCTCCCACAGTACCTCACACTCTCCCACAGTACCTCACACTCTCCCACAGTACCTCACACTCTCCCTACACAGTACCTCACAGTACCCCACAGTACCTCACACTCTCCCACAGTACCTCACACTCCACAGTACCTCACACTCTCCCACAGTACCTCACACTCTCCCACAGTACCTCACACTCTCCCACAGTACCTCACACTCTCCCACAGTACCTCACACTCTCCCACAGTACCCACACTCTCCCACAGTACCTCACACTCTCCCACAGTACCTCACACTCTCCCACAGTACCTCACACTCTCCCACAGTACCTCACACTCTCCCACAGTACCTCACACTCTCCCACAGTACCTCACACTCTCCCACAGTACCTCACACTCTCCCACAGTACCTCACACTCTCCCACAGTACCTCACACACAGTACCTCACATACAGTACCTCACACTCTCCCACAGTACCTCCCACTCTCCCACAGTACCTCACACTCTCCCACAGTACCTCACACTCTCCCACAGTACCTCACACTCTCCCACAGTACCTCACACTCTCCCACAGTACCTCACACTCTCCCACAGTACCTCACACTCTCCCACAGTACCTCACACTCTCCCACAGTACCTCACACTCTCCCACAGTACCTCACACCCTCCCACAGTACCTCACACTCTCCCACAGTACCTCACACTCTCCCACAGTACCTCACACTCTCCCACAGTACCTCCAACTCTCCCACAGTACCTCACACTCTCCCACAGTACCTCACACTCTCCCACAGTACCTCACACTCTCCCACAGTACCTCACACTCTCCCACAGTACCTCACACCCTCCCACAGTACCTCACACTCTCCCACAGTACCTCACACTCTCCCACAGTACCTCACACTCTCCCACAGTACCTCACACTCTCCCACAGTAGATGAACCTGTTCATAGTGATAATTTAGTGATTATTCTTTGAAAAAATAATTATAAAAGATAATAAATATTAAAATAAATAATAATCATACTGAGGCTGGTGTATGATGTCCTCAAACTATATAGTGATATCATGGCTGATTAGCCTAGTATCACGAATATTGTAATTACTAGCTAATCTTCTTTTGACCGTGAATGATTATATTTTGTGTATTGACAATGTATATCATCATAACCTACTATATTATATTTCTGTATCAAAGTTGCATGCCATGTAATTGTGGATTGATATATTAGATGTCTAGTGTATAGCAGTAGCCTAATGTCACGTAGCTTGAAAATCTTCTTGTATGCTTATTGTATGAAATGCTACATAAATGTTGTATAGGAAGTATTATGTGAACCATGATGGAGAATGTATACATTTAGGTCTCGGATGTATTGGTCACATGTATACTGTGTAATTTCCATTTCACTGTTGTTCCTTGCATTGTCCTCTTGTCATGACACTAAATGAAATTATGGCTCTGTGAAATATATATAACGTAGACAAGCTTTTGATGCACATATTGTGTATGTATATATATATATATATATATATATATATATATATATATATATATATATATATATATATATATGTCGTACCTAGTAGCCAGAACTCACTTCTCAGCCTACTATTCAAGGCCCGATTTGCCTAATAAGCAAGTTTTCCTGAATTAATATATTTACTATAATTTTTTTCTTATGAAATGATAAAGCAACCCTTTTCTATATGTATGAGGTCAATTTTTTTTTATTGGAGTTAAAATTAACGTAGATATATGACCGAACCTAACCAACCCTACCTAACCTAACCTAACCTGTATTTATAGGTAAGGTTAGGTTAGGTAGCCAAAAAAGCTAGGTTAGGTTAGGTTAGGTAGGTTAGGTAGACGAAAAAACATTAATTCATGAAAACTTGGCTTATTAGGCAAATCGGGCCTTGAATAGTAGGCTGAGAAGTGCGTTCTGGCTATTAGGTACGACATATATATATATATATATATATATATATATATATATATATATATATATATATGTCGTACCTAGTAGCCAGAACGCACTTCTCAGCCTACTATGCAAGGCCCGATTTGCCTAATAAGCCAAGTTTTCATGAATTAATTGTTTTTCGACGACCTAACCTACCTAACCTAACCTAACCTAACTTTTTCGGCTACCTAACCTAACCTAACCTATAAAGATAGGTTAGGTTAGGTTAGGTAGGGTTGGTTAGGTTCGGTCATATATCTACGTTAATTTAACTCCAATAAAAAAAAATTGACCTCATACATAATGAAATGGGTAGCTTTATCATTTCATAAGAAAAAAAAATAGAGAAAATATATTAATTCAGGAAAACTTGGCTTATTAGGCAAATTTGGCCTTGCATAGTAGGCTGACAAGTGCGTTCTGGCTATAGGTACGACATATATATATATATATATATATATATATATATATATATATATATATATATATATATATATATATATATATATATATATATATAGATATATATATATATATATATTAATATATATATATATATATATATATAATATTATTAAATATGACCGAAAAAGTAAGATTAATAATTCTAACACGAATTTTCTCAATCTTTCGTACATTTCTTTTCACTGTTGGACGGGTAAATCAAAAATCAATTCTCCAAAATTCATTTTTATTTCTAGTCTGACGCGACACGAGCGCGTTTCCTAAAACTTATTACATTTTCAAAGACTTTAGTTCACAAATACACAACTGAATAGAACTTACGCATCTCCGATTTTATATCTACATTTGAGTGAGGTGGAAGGGGGTGATGTTTCATTAACACAAGACAGAACAAGATGTGGTATTAATAGGGTATTAATTTCATCAACACAAGACAGAACAAGAGTATTAATAGGGTATTAATTTCATCAACTCAAGACAGAACACGAAACAATGGATATTGAATAGAAGTGTTTGTAGAAAGCCTATTGGTCCATATTCTTGATGCTTCTATATTGGAGCGGAGTCTTGAGGTGGGTAGAATATAGTTGTGCAATAATTGGCTGTTGATTGCTGGTGTTGACTTCTTGATGTGTAGTGCCTCGCAAACGTCAAGCCGCCTGCTATCGCTGTATCTATCGATGATTTCTGTGTTGTTTACTGGGATTTCTCTGGCGATGGTTGGTTGTGGGAAGAGATTATATGTTCCTTAATGGAGCCCTGTTGCTTATGCATCGTTAAACGCCTAGAAAGAGATGTTGTTGTCTTGCCTATATACTGGGTTTTTTGGAGCTTACAGTCCCCAAGAGGGCATTTGAAGGCATAGACGACGTTAGTCTCTTTTAAAGCGTTCTGTTTTGTGTCTGGAGAGTTTCTCATGAGTAGGCTGGCCGTTTTTCTGGTTTTATAGTAAATCGTCAGTTGTATCCTCTGATTTTTGTCTGTAGGGATAACGTTTCTATTAACAATATCTTTCAGGACCCTTTCCTCCATTTTATGAGCTGTGGAAAAGAAGTTCCTGTAAATAGTCTAATAGGGGGTATAGGTGTTGTGTTAGTTGTCTCTTCAGAGGTTGCATGGCTTTTCACTTTCCTTCTTATGATGTCTTCGACGAAACCATGGGAGAAGCCGTTATTGACTAGGACCTGCCTTACCCTACAGAGTTCTTCGTCGACTTGCTTCCATTCTGAGCTGTGGCTGAGAGCACGGTCGACATATGCGTTAACAACACTCCTCTTGTACCTGTCTGGGCAGTCGCTGTTGGCATTTAGGCACATTCCTATGTTTGTTTCCTTAGTGTAGACTGCAGTGTGGAAACCTCCGCCCTTTTCCATGACTGTTACATCTAGAAAGGGCAGCTTCCCATCCTTTTCCATCTCGTAAGTGAAACGCAGCACGGAACTCTGCTCAAATGCCTCCTTCAGCTCCTGCAGATGTCTGACATCAGGTACCTGTGTGTAAAAAAATGTCGTCACATACCTGCAGTATATGGCCGGTTTCAAGTTCATGTCGACTAAGACTTTTGCTCGATGGTACCCATGTAGAAGTTTGCAAACAGGACACCTAGGGGAGAACCCATGGCGACCCCATCTACTTGCTTATACATGTGCCCATCCGGGCTCAAGAAGGGTGCCTCTTTAGTACAAGCTGGGAGTAGTTTCCTCAGAATATTTCTGGTATGACAAGAGGAGTACAGGCTGGATCACGATACACTCTGTCGGCTATCATTCCGATTGTCTCGTCCACAGGTACGTTGGTAAACAGCGATTCTACGTCCAACGAGGCTCTTATCCCTGTGGCCCGTGTGCCCCGCAGTAAGTCAACAAATTCCTTTGGAGACTTCAGGCTGAAGGCGCAAGGAACATAAGGAGTCAGCAGGCCGTTGAGTCGCTTCGCCAGTCTGTACGTGGGTGTGGGTATCTGGCTAATGATTGGCCATATATATATATATATATATCCTTTTTTTTCCACACACACAAACACACACCTGCGGGAAGCAACCCGTAGCAGCTGTCTAACTCCCAGGTACCTATTTACTGCTAGGTAACAGGGGCAACAGGGTGAAAGAAACTCTACCCATTTGTTTTTCCGCCTCCACCGGGGATCGAACCCGGAACCTCAGGACAACGAAGTACTGCCCACTCAGCTGTCAGGCCCTCCAGGCTTCCATACACCCCCCCCCATACTCACCTAATTGTGCTTGCGAGGGTTGAACTCTAGCTCTTTGGTCCCGCCTCTCAACCGTCAATCAACAGGTGTACAGGTTCGTGTGTGTGCGTGCGTGTCTCATAACTCACAAACATATGCCACAGTCTTAACTTAACAAGCCACGTGTTATCCTCACAATGAGTGAGGCCACCAACCAGAGTGAGATACTGACCCTTGACAATGAGGAGGACAGGCCTGGTGATCTTGGGGTCAGAGTTGACCTGACACTCGTACCAGCCACCGTCCCCTGGCTGGGCGTACTTGATGTGTAGCGTCCACTCGTCCGTGTTAGCCCCGGGTGGAGCACCCACACTGCACACAACCTTACCATTATTGTAGCGCCACTATATAACAATATGATCACAGGTAATAATGTGAAGATCCACTAGGGCGCGAACCTGCGACCTCGGCATTGTCAAGTCGCATACTCTACCACTGGACCACCGAGTCTTATCACTGATACATATCACGTTAATGTAATTACTGTGTAAATAAAATATTATTAATATTAAATCATACATATAATGATAATAGTTATAGGGAGAATGATAATATTAACCCATGATTCTGGTGCATTACTCAATACTTCAGCGTTCATGTTGCCGTTCGTGAAGCCGGAACACCGCCTCGGCGCTCAAGAACGCCACATGTGTGTGATGTATGGCGGAGGAGGATCTTGTACCCCTGAAAGATGGCTTGTAATGGCTTACTGTGTCCTCCTCATAATTACCTTACCTCACCTTGCAAGCTTACAGTCATTACCAAACTTATGAGAACACGTGAGAGTGTGAGGAAGTGGTGAGTGTGTGTGAGCACCGCGGACAACAAAGTTATGCTGGTCAAACACCGCCTCTTAGACCTTAAACTCGCGGCTAGAGAACAATTCTAGAAAATTCGAATATTCTAGAAATTTCGACCCGAATCAAGAGGAAGAAAGAAGCGGCTATATAGAGAGTCCCACCACCTGCCACAGTCAGTATAAGTGTAGACGTGGACCAGTACACATGCTGCTCCTCCACTTCATATATAAAGCTTTTTTATAAAGTCTCTGAAAAATTGGTGAAGTTTCAACAAATTAGAAAGGAAAATATGAAGAAGAAAACGGAAATATTGAGCCAGAGTTAATCCTGACCCTTTCCCAGTGCTATATAATCGTAACGACTTGGCGCTTTCCCCCTCATAGTTCCCTGCCCTTGCAATCAGCTTAGCACTTGACGAATCAACACACAACACAACTGGTAATATTTGGCCACCATTATCTGAATCTGAAAATACAGAAGATGCCCGTGGGGCGAGCCTTGAAGTGGGGACAGAAGATAAGGGGGGTGAGAGGAAGAAGATTTGTAGGAGAAAAAGTGCCAGGGCTAAACCCAGCTGCGTGTCGTTTGGTTGCGGCATTCGAGGCAGGGACTCAGTCGGGTGTTTCAGTGACAACAACAGGGACATCACAAAACTCACAACATCGCAGTGATTGGCTCAATAGCGTCAGGGCTGAACTTTTACGGATGGTTTGTGCTGGTTGTTGAGAGCTGAATATGTAATGATGGTGGATGCTGGGTGTTGAGAGCTAAAGTTTATCGAAATACAGAGTTAGGAGGAGGATCATGGATGGTAGAGAAGAGGTCATGAGTGTTTCGTGGTAGTCTAAGAGTGTGTAGGAGAAAATCAATGTGTTGTTCATGATAAGTGAGTAGTCTATCAATTTGTCTGTCTGATAAAGTTTTCCAGTAGACATTTAGGGCAGGAATGTTCGTACTTTCATGGAGACTTTGACTGGTAATAAACTCTTGCCATCGGGTGTTGAGTACCCATCTTAGTGCTCTATTCTGTATTCGTTGAAGCTTTAGTTTGTTAGTAGGTGCAGATAGAGAAAGAGCAAGTGGAGCATATGTTAAAAGAGGTCTAATAAGTGCTTTGTAAAGGTGTTTTTTTGTGTCAGGTTTTGCAAAACTAAGTCTGTACAGTTTTTCCATGGCTAGAAGAGCTATTGCATGTTTCTGTATAATGTGTGTGTGAAAGAGTAGTTGTCGATCAAAAGTGAGTCCAAGGACTGTGGAGGAGGGAGACGCAGGACTGTGGAGGAGGGAGACACAGGACTGTGGAGGAGGGAGACGCAGGACTGTGGAGGAGGGAGACACAGGACTGTGGAGGAGGGTGACACAGGACTGTGGAGGAGGGAGACGCAGGACTGTGGAGGAGGGAGACACAGGACTGTGGAGGAGGGAGACGCAGGACTGTGGAGGAGGGAGACACAGGACTGTGGAGGAGGGAGACACAGGACTGTGGAGGAGGGAGACACAGGACTGTGGAGGAGGGAGACACAGGACTGTGGAGGAGGGTGACACAGGACTGTGGAGGAGGGAGACACAGGACTGTGGAGGAGGGAGACACAGGACTGTGGAGGAGGGAGACACAGAGATATAAGTAGGATTTGGAGTGTATGAATAGAGTTTAAGAGGAATAGGGCGAATAGTTCTTTTACAAAATGTAGGTGATTTTGGATTTGGTGGAGTTGGTTTTGATACGCCAGTTATACTCCTATTCAGTGACAACATCAAGTTCTGTTTGTGCTCTGTTTGTTAGTGTATCAATGGTGTTGCTGGTGACAACGTGAGAGACATCATCGGCGTAGTATATGGTTAATGAAGTGTGATGAACAGGGTCAGGAATGTCGTTGATGTATAGGATGTAGAGTGTCGGGGCAAGAACAGAGCCTTGCGGAACACCAGCATGTAAGTTGAAGTAGTCAGAGTGTTGTCGGAGGAACTTAATTCTCATTGTCCTATTGTCTAAGTAGTTAGAAAGAAGTTTGGTGGTGATAAGAGAAAGATTAAAGTTGTTGCATAATTTGAATTTTAGGCCGTCATGCCAAACAGTGTCAAAGGCCTTCTCAACGTCCTTAGTGATGAGTGCAGTCTTAAGTCTTTGGTGCTGATTGATACTGAGGTAGTTGGTCATGATGTTTAAGGCGTCATGAGTGGACCGGTGAGGCCGAAATCCAAACTGTTTGTTAGTGAATAAGTCATTGTGTTCTAGGCGGGTTCTAAGTCTCTGGTTGATCAGCCTTTCAAAGACTTTGCCAAGTGTCTCTAGAAGGCTGATGGGTCTGTAGTTCTTTGGATCAGTGTGGGGTTTCCCAGGTTTTGGAATAAGAACGGCTGTGGCAGACTTAAAGTTGAGAGGGAAGTATCCAGAGGCAAGGGAGGCGTTGAATAGGTTAGTGATAGCAGTAATGATAGAAGCAGGGAGTTGTCTAAGAAGGATATGTCCAATGCCAGACGCACCAGGGGCTCTACGACGAGTGCCCATGAGAGCTGTCTTGACATCAGCTAGAGTCAGGGGAGTCTGTAGTTCAGTGTTTGAATTGAGATTTCCAAGGTGGATGTGGTCGTCTGGTGTAGTTGCTTGTCTATTTTGGTGGATCCAGTCTTCGACTGCTTCAATGTTGGGGTGGGCAAATGGTTCAGGAGGATGTGGGTGAAAGATTCGTTCCCAGTGGTGTTTAAAAATGTTGAGTACTTCATCAGGATCAGTGATTTTGTTGTTATTATGAAGAAGGTATTTAAACGGTGTGTGAGTTGATCCTTGTAAGCGTTTGATTTGTTTCCAGAATTCTTGAGGTGTCAGTTTTCTGTGTTGTTCTGCTTGTTCTATGAGGTGTTTCCAATGTTTTGTGTGATCTTCATCTAGGCTGTTAAGGATGTGGTTTTTTAATGATGTTAGGTCCCATAGTATTTGTCCATGACGATGCATGTTTTGTAAGAATCTAGTGTGATAGCAAGCTAAGAGGCGTTTTGAGCGAATGGAAGGGGTGAAAGTGAAATGTGGTTTGTGTGTTGTTTTAGGAATGGAGATATTTGCTGCATGAATGACGGTGTCTTGTATGTTGCGTGCTTCTGTGTCGATGTCAGTGTGATGTTTGTCATTGTATTCATAAGTGAGATCAGTGTCATCAATGAACATGTCCCAGTTTGCCCTAAGGTATGAGAATTGAGGAGTGCTGGGGATGAGAATAGGATTTGGGGAGACTGTGAGAATTAAGGGAATATGATCAGAACCCGTAATGGGCCCTGGTGAAATGAAGTGTTGCAAGTTGCTGCCATGTCTGTTAGTGAATATGAGATCAGGTCTGCCAGAACCTGTATGTGTGAAACAAGTGGGGAAGTCAGAGCCAAGAAAGAATAGATGTTTTTGGGTGTGTATTTGGTGAAGCTGTCTGCCATGCTGATTTGTGGTATTGTGGTGGAATGTAGGATGTTGTGCATTGAGATCTGCAAGCAGAAAAACAGGCAAGTGAGTGTGGTTGAAAAGAGTTGTGAAATCTTGCATGGGAATGCCGGTGTTAGGACGGGTGTAGGTTGTGCAGATGATGAGAGGACCCATTTGTGTGTGAACTTTGATAGCTAGGAAATGTTTGTGAAGCCATTGAGTGTGTAAGAGTTCGTGTTTGTATGAAGAGCGGATGAGTATTGCAACTCCTTCATATGCTTCATCTGGTGACTGGTAAGAGGAGTAGCCATAATGTTTGATTTTATATGAGTTCGTAATGTATGTGCTATTTAATAATAGCACATCAGGTCTCTCGATCTCAATAAAATCTGACACCATGTGTCTAATGGAGAAATATGCCCGCACATTAAATTGGATGATCTTTATGAATTCTTAGGTTTTGATGGGGTGCTGGTGGGGTTTTGTGCATGTACAGGAGCATGAGGGTTGCGTGATTCAATGAGTTGGGCAGTTATTGAGGAGGGTGCATCTTGGAGAAGGGTGGTAGGAATTGTAGGATATTTAGAGCAGGAGGTGGGAGTAAGACAACGGGTTGCTGAACGGGCTCGGGACGAGACGAGATGAGTTGCAGAAGAAATGACTGTAGTTGTTGGGGGATGGAGGAAGGCAGAAGGCTTGTTGACAGGGACCGGGTGAGAGGTATCAGAGGTTGTAGTGTTTGAAGTCAGATTGAGAGTGGAGGGGACAATGTTGGGAGAAGAGGTTGAAAGTTTAACGATTCTTCGCGGCAGGGGATCATATTCCAGGGACCTGCCCGAAACGATACGCGTACTAGTGGCTGTACAAGAATGTAGCAACTCTTGTATATATCTCAAAACAAAAACAAAACAAAAAAAGTGCCTTTGACATGGATGCTTCAGTTTGGGATAGTCCGGGATGTGCTGTTTGGTCAGTGGCACCGTTTTCTGTAGTAGTCAGGAGTCGTTGAGGGGGAGTAGTATTTTCCTCAGCTGACGACGTGGTGTTTTGTGGAGTGAGGACTGTAGGCGAGAATGGAGCAGAGCGCAATAGTGAGGGAGGAACAGAGATACTAGGAAGGCCGTTAGTATTATAGTAGTTTAGTTCATTTATTATGCACCCCATACCCATCTTGTGGGCGGTAGTGGAAAGGGTTACAGTCTCAGGGACTGAACCCCACAATTCATTTAGCTAAGCAAGTTACAATTTGTGGAGTGCAGGTCACTGGGTTCGAGATCGACTTCAAGAGGTTCTAAATTAAGGAGTGGAGAGCTAGTGTCAAAATTTATGCCTGCAATCCAGTGGGCAGCGGTGGATAGGTTAGGAGGGGGATATTTGGCAGAGCAGATC